AAACCGGCAACCTTCTTGCTGCGAGGCAACAGTGCTACCAACTGCGCCACCCTGCAGCCCTTTTTTAAATCCTAATACACCAAACAAAAGTCTAGATTTCAGAGGAGCATTATTGAAATTTTAACATCCTCCAAAGTCTGTTTATTTGTATTTCATTTGACAAAGTCTGTCTCCTTCTTTTAAATACAACCTGACCTCCTGTTCCCTCTGTCATGCTTTTTGATTTTTAGCAGGTTACTGTACATTTAACATTAAGTGCATTTCAAATTTCATAGTTTTTCTTCAATAAGTGGAAAAATAATGTCTTCAATTAAGCATTACATTTCTATTCCAATTGTATGTTAACTCAGTAAGCAAACCTTTCATGCTTTTATATTCGATATACAGTATTGGCATAAGGAAATAAATATTCCTCTTGACTGTATAAAAACACACACAAGCAAAGAACTGTACAGTCTGATAGAAGGACATCACTCATGTCTGAGGTCATTTAGGCCCTGGAGAGGTCTGACTCATACAGAGTACATGAAAATACATATTTGACATCTGCCGTCTCTGATAACTCAAGCAGATGCAATCTAATGTATAGCTTCCTGTCTCTGACTTCTGAAAATAGCAGCAGTTCAAAAATCATGTTTTCAAGTCATTTTCATGAAATCTGGATCTCAAACAGAATAGTTCAATATAAAAACAGCCCTTTATCTGCTGGCTCAACATTTCATAATTTTATCAGCTGGAATGCAGCTGTGGAGGAAAGCAATCAAGTATTTACCCCAATATGGCATTGAAGTTTTGTTTTTACAGTTTTGTGATACTTGAACTTTACTTGAATGTTTCTTTCCATTTTTTGCAGAGGGAGATTTTGTACGTTCTTGGATCATCTTCCATTAATCATGTCTGAAGCCCTCAGATTTATCTGCTGTCCTTTTGTAAAATTACTATAAAATAGTTCAAACCTGCAGCAGCTCCAATAGTAACAAGTAGTTGACAAACTGATGCGTTTTGGAGCTAACAACAAACAACGGCCTTAACTGTGAGCTGAACTAAACATTTTCTTATTGCGGTTCAAATAGTACTGTTTGGAGTTGTGAACTGATTTAGGCAGCTAAGAAGATTAACGATGCTCTGAGATGGGCCATTTTTACATGGTTTTCTTTTTCTTTACATTAAGTTAGATTATGCTTCCTTGGTTTCTAAAGTATGTTTAATAGACTACAATTTGTCATATATTGCTGCCCTTGTTGTTATACTTCTTTTAGTTCTATATACATATTTAAAAATGAATAGACCTCCCATCAGGGTCAAAACAACTAAAGTCACAATATTATTTGTGGTATATGTTAAATGTAATTTAGCGAAAGCTACAGTTATAGTTAATGCTGATTACAGTGGCAACACTATAGAAATATGGTTTTATTGTCACAAAGCCTAGTTAGAGAATTAAACTGTACTGTAATCAACTGTTTAAGTAAATTACAATAGTTACACTGTTGAAATTCAGTAAAATTCTGGTGACCACAATTGCTGGTTATTTATTGTAATTTTACAGGAAAATCAATTGCAGGGAACTTTAACTACATTTGCTGCTAATATTAATGTCACTGAAGTAGTAGTTTTTATTGCAGGAATTGTACTTGTAATGGAGTATTTCTTCATTGCTGTACAGGTACTTAGTAAAGGATCTGAATACTTGTCTTCCACTGGGATTAGGAGGACTTGTGCTTTTCAGAGCAGAGATCTGGAGCCCGACTGACCATGAGGTCAATGTATGTCTTTAAAGGCTCCATGTCAGAGGAGCAGCTCAATCCATCCACCAGAGGATGGTTGCTCTTTTTGGGAACCTATATGACACCTGCTGAAGACATTTGCTCTGTTTCGTAAGCGCTTTGACATTATTAATTAGGCGGCTGTAAAGCTCTCATCACATGGGTGCAAAGCTGCTGCCATAATCCGTCCACCTACTGTTCTGTGCTGCATGAGTTAATGCACAGTGAAGCGCTTCTCTGCACATCGTTCCCACTTTGTTATCAAGTGGCAGCACTTGGCGCTGCTTTCTGCCTCGGGCCCAAAAAGGCGTGTCCCTGAGTCATGCATATAATAGCCAGACGAGCTGCGATAGGCTTCGGCTCTCCAGTCCTCAGCTCGCTGTGCACCGGCAGACTCACCGGCAGGTTCTCCACCATGGCTCAGCTCTCCTCTGAACAAGTGGTATTCAACAAGCCCAAGGTACGTGATCAGCTGTAGTCTGAGTGTTAATAATTTAAATGGAAAGCTGCTCAATTATTGACGCTTTTTCGCGCTTTTACGCACGATACGACTGTTCAGCCACTGAGTGTACATGGGGACTTCGCGACAAAGAGAATGAGAAGGTTAGAATAAAACAAACCAAATGAAGCATTAGACTTTAAGAACAAAACAAAACACTATTGTTGAACAGCTTCCTTGTCGTTAATATAAAACCTCAAACAAGGAAGAACATTTCCACTGCTTGCACTTTAACATGTGACCAGTCAGCTTCACACACAGCCCTTAGAGGAAAGAGCTTTATGCAGGTTTTTGCTGTGCCAGCCTTTTTTTTTCTGAACATATATTCCACACTGATGCAGAACAGAGAGATCAGGCTGCTCTCAGAACTGTTCTGTAGTCAGTTCATGGCTGTTTGTGGGATGATGAGCATCCCTTCATGTGACTGAGGCTGCACTAATGATTAACGTTTGGGCTCAACAGAAACAAATAAGGAAACAGTTTGAATCAATCTTGTTTGAAGTTGTGACAGCTTCTAATAAAAATGGTATTCAACCAACAAACTACACTGAGTTAGTGTAATTATATTTTCCTCTACAGTCAAAGCCCCCCACCCCCGCACCCCCCTTTGTCTGTGTTTTTTAGACATCGGATATGTAACATTACTGGCTTCATTCTGTCTTTAAGTCTCTTCTCAATAGATGTCCCTCACAGCTTTATTCAAACCCCCTCACAGTGCTGGAAAGAGCCGTGTTATGCATGCCGTACTTTTCTTTCAATGTATAATGCACAGTAATGCAAAAATAAACAAAACACTAAATCTGACGTGTCCAAATAACCATCAGCCTAGTTTATTTCTGATTTCCTAATCACTGAAAATTCTGTCTGAGTGTAGCAATAATCTAACTACCACACAAATAGTAAAAGAACAGTGTGACTTGCCATTAGATCCTGATCCATCCTGTCTCCATATCAGGGGCAATTTATAATTCTAACTAATACATGAAGTAAGCTGTTTGATGCTGCAGGAGTTGAATAAACTCATAGAAAAGACTCCTGAAAACAAAGCAACAAACTAAACTGTGATTGTGACTGACAGTTCACATGATCTAAGGAACAGTACACAGTGTGACTTGGATCCTGACCTCGACTGATCCCGTCACAGTGTCTTAGATATTTCATAATTACAAGTTATTACAAGTCAGCCCCTTTAAGTTGAAGTAAAGTTGCTTGTGCATGTCTGTAATAGGTGACTGGGTGCGGTTCAGATTTGTGTTGAAAGTGACATGGAGATGTTACTGGATTCAGCAGAGTATTATTTAATGATTGGTAGCATAAACGGAAGTTTTTAAGTTCATAAATATAAGATGTTCCAGCTGGTATTTCTATGTTATTTAAAGACGTGTTTAGCTGTTGTGTACCTAATTACCACGTTGACAAGCATATGTTTTTAAGTTGGCAAAACAAATTTGCTTAAGTGATAAATAGGTAGGGGAGGTGTGAAGAAAAATTACATTATCAAGCCATTTTCAGTACCTGAGCTTGAATTTAGTCTTAAATCAACTAAAGCAGAAATTTGAGTTTGAACTATGCACAGAGATCCTTAGTTACTACTTACATTACTTTTTAGAGTGTACTTTCATTGCAATAGAAACCAAGCAAACAGTTATTTTAGCTTTTTTTTTTTTTTTTTGCCAAATTGCAGTCATTCTTAGGGATGGTAGAGACAGCTGGTGAGCATAACAAATAACCTTTACACCAGTGTTCAAAGAAAGTCCTTCACCCCTTAAAATCGTCACTGTAGTCCTAGTAGCCCAAGTACAAGGCAATATTTCTTACAGATAAGACAAGTGATTACGTAACACTGCATCCGCTGTTGCTCTTCCTGCTATATTTAATTTCTTGCTGGTGTGAGGATGGTGCCTGGTTTCATTTTGTTTTTCATTCAAAAAGACAAACTGAAGCAACTTGGGGGGGTTCTGATAAAATTTTTGCCATAAAGGTTGCACATGTTCATTTTGGAATATTTTGGGACCGCTTGTGAAATATAGTCAGTTTTGCTCTAGCTAACGATTACTGTGGATATTTTTGTTTGCCATGCTTGTCATTTATGTATTACTGTGTTGCGAAAACGGGAAATTCCAAGGTGATGTGCTTTCGTTGGATGCTGGCGCATTTGTCCGATAGTTTGACATGCACATTGGGCTCACGGGCAGGAAATGTGCACTCACTCGTGCCCTTTGAATCTTGGTGCTGACTAAACATGTATCTGTTCTGCCCAGCAACTGATAAGAAGCAAGTAAATGACTGGCTCGGTGAGAGAGAAACGGACGTACAGCACAGAGACAGAGATGTGGGCTCAGTTACCATGTGAATGTGTGCGTGTTGGGGAGTGTCTGCTGCTTACAGAGACAACCTCATTACATATTAATGTGCTGTTGTAGAACTGATACCACTGATAGGGTCACTGTGTACTGCAGCAGCCTGCACTGGTTCACCATCCTCGCTTCAAATGCTGACATTGCTTCACTGCACAGTAGCTGCATGGTTAATACACATTGTCATCATTTGACAAGGTGATCTGCCATTATTATTAGGGCTGCAAGTATTTTCTTTAATGATAAATTTACTGATAATTTTATCACTTAGCTGATTAATTGTTTGATGTCAGAAATTGTGTAAACTTCACATCTGACATCTTTATATGTCAGGTTTTGCAATTATGTAAAATAGAATGAAGCAACTCATCCCAACTGAGCTCCAAAAGCAAAAACCTGTATTCTCTTTGTGTGTGTCCAAACATGTATTGTGGATCAGCAGAAGTACCAGGTTGCACCATCAGGTGGAGCTTGGATTATAGGCAGTTCTGTGGCATACAGAGAGCATTGTGGGGATTTAACAACCACCATGACAAAGCCTTCAGTGGTGTTTAATGTCCCCCAGCCAGAGCTCATGTGTTCAAGACAAGCTGGGATCAAGTTGGATAGTGTTCCTGTATCCCATACATAAGAAAGCTGCCTTTGTAGTCTGTTTCACCTGTCTGTAGACTAAATGAACAATGTGAGCAAAAGATAAATGTTTACAAATCCATTGTTGATTGATACTGTTGTCAATTTTGATTTAGAAAATGAGTCACAAATTCCAGAAATGGTGTTCTACCTGGGCTGCAAGGTGGCGCAGTTGGTAGCACTGTTGCCTCGCAGCAAGAAGGTTGCCGGTTCGCGTCCCGGTGGGGGCACCAGAATCTTTCGGCGTGGAGTTTGCACGTTCTCCCCGTGCAGCGTGGGTTCTCTCCGGGTTCTCCGGCTTCCTCCCACACAGTCCAAAAACATGTTGAGGTTAATTGGTGATTCTAAATTGTCCGTAGGTGTGAATGTGAGTGTGCTTGGTTGTCTGTCTCTAAGTGTAGCCCTGTGATAGACTGGTGACCTGTCCAGGGTGTCCCCTGCCTTCGCCCTAAGTCAGCTGGGATAGACTCCAGCCCCCCGCGACCCTAATGAGGATTAAGCGGTGTATAGATAATGGATGGATGGATGGATGGTGTTCTACCTCTATAGAAGCTATGAGACAGTGCACATAAACGATTCTGATATTTAAGATCGGACTAGGACATCTTTAATTGCTTAGTTTTCTGTTGACTAAACAGGTTTGACCGGGTTTCCTGCTTTTAGGGAGTTTCTGTTATGGGTTTGGTTTGCATGTGGATGTGGCTGAAGATGAATAATAAATAAAAGACAAATGTGAACAGAAAGAAAGAGCTAAATGTTGTAGAAGTAGAACTAAAGCTACTGTAACAATGATTTTGATCACTGGTTATTTAAGGATTTATTTAATTAATCCTTAAGTGTCAAAAATGTTTATTAGAAAGTTTCTTTTAGCTCAAAGTAATATCTTTAAATGTAGTTTTATGTAGCTAACAGTCTCAAACCACAAAAAAAATCAGTTTACTATCACATAAAACAACATAGGAAATGTTCTCAATTGAGCTACTAATGACTGAAAACACCAAGAAGTGAAAATGTTTAGTATGATTGACCAGGCTGTTAGTTTTAGTAAGCTGATCTGACTGCACTACACTCCGCTACAGCTGGATCATATTAATGGTATTAATGACAAAAATAGTAATAAATAAAGTCTTTATGTGCTGACAGAAGAAAAAATGCCACTTCAAATGAGTCATAACTGGAATCTAGTCCACAGCTTTATATTCACATGGCTTGAGCTTCTTTCACAGAATTGCGCAACAACTTCAGGGTTTATCATCAGTCACTTTCTTGCAAAACAGCAACAGATTGTGAGTGCCACTAAATTATGTAAGTTCCCACAGTGCACCACAAGAACTGCTGTGTATAATGATAGATCTGCCGCAGGGTTTCTTGAACTTGAAAGTCACTTAACCAGCTGTTGTCCGTCTATAAACAGCTCAGGATCCATCACCTTCATAATTTGAATGCTGCAAATAATGATTATTTCCATCTTTGATTGACTTATTCGATTTTCTTGACAAATTGATTAGCTGTTGGTCTTAATTTATTAAACAAAAAAACAACAAAAAAAAAACAACTGTTGATCAATGTTTCCTAAAGTATCTTGTTTTGTCAACCAACAGCCCCCCCAAAAAAACATTCTCTTTATTGTCATGGAGGACTACAGAAACTAGCAAATATTTACAATTAAGAATCTGTGAACAAAGAATTTCAGCATTAAAAAAGTGACTCATACATTTTTATTATCAAAATAGTTGTCAATTAACTTTCAGTCAGTTAATTGTTGCAGCACTAAATTGTACGCTTTCATTCCTGTGGTAAACATTTGGGTAGAAATATGCTATACTCGTTTTTCTCTGTCACACCAGATGGCCACAGCTGCAAGGGAAAACAACACCAAAGCCCACACTAGTGGAGCTGGAAGCTAAGAGTTTTTGGAGTTTTAGCTTGAAAGTGTATCCAAATAGTTGCCGATTATTTTTTGTCTGATCAGTTCAAAAGCGAATCGTTGCATCTCTGACTTTTTTCATCAAAGATACACACTGAAAACCTGTAAGTAGTTTTTATTGCTGAAGAACAAGCTGCACAAGGAAAAGCTGTGGTACACTGTAAGTCACTTGATGCAGGAATGTTGAAATATCACTGGACTGAAGTATTGTTGAACATTAGTCACTGTTCCAGCTTTTCTTGGATGAACTTAATTAGAGGGTTGAGTTCCTTTTTACATCCAGTAAGAAAAACAGATACTGCTCCACCTCACTGACATCCATTAATAAACACAGACAGCAGCTTTTCTTTTTCGAGAAATGCTTTAAACATCAGTTAAGTTTAGCGCAGCTTTGTGGGCACAACAGAGCAACAGCAGGATTTGGATGAATTTTTAATAAAAGCAACAATCAAAACAAATGAACAGTAAAAAAAAAATCTGCTTCAACATGACGTGTTTGTGGGAATAGTGTTTAAACCCCTGAACGCCATCTACCACAGCATCCTGCGCTTCATTACTGCATGTAGTGAAAGGACTCGTAAAGTATATAAAAAGCTTCAGGTTGGACATCCCTAGCAACTAGAAGGCATCAGCATACTTCATCTATGAGGCCTTGCTCTTGAAACTGCCAAGATATTAAACATTTGTAGCTGATTTCAGAGCTCTTGATACCAAATCACAGTAGAGACAGACTCAGGTCTCTCTTGATAATGTGATCTTACTCTCAGTGAGACTTCTGAATTAAATAAACAAAAAAGGAAATAGAGATGATCAGATTTGCTTCACAGTGAACCAAACATCGCTCCAGCTGTCAGAATTTGATTAAAATGTTCCTAATTCTTTAATGGAACACAGAGATCGCATTACATTATTTTTTTTTCTCCAGCTGCGCATTGCCCACTGCAAACCAATGAACACAGAAAAAAATATGTAGGTTTTTCACTACTCAACAAGAGGGTTATTTAAAAAAATATACTAATTATAGACCCTTTAAGACAAATAATGTAGAATAACATGAAAGTTTGACAATGCTGGGAAAAAACTGAGCTGCTTCTTTTGGTGCACATTAGAAGTCTTAATTTGGGGATGATTTCTATAATTGACTGATTTCCATCATTACTCACAGGTAGAGATTAGAATTAAAAGTTGTTGGTTGGAAAATGTTCATTTGAACCTCACTGTGACGACCAAGGCCTCAGCTGTTGAAGAAGGGCCTGGAACAGATTTATCTGTGGCATCTGCCAGGATAAATCGCGACTCTTGGAAGGAGACCCTTCTCTGGCACTCCTGGCCTTTTCACCACTGGCTGCCCAGTCATGCATGAAGCATTCATGTGGGGTGCAGCCAAAACACTGAACTGCAGCACAACTGCTCTCTCTTACTGCTCTATGTTTTTTCATCACTGAGGGCTATCTGACTGGTTCTGTTCTCTAAAGTGTCTAATCAGACTCAGATGTGTGTCAGCAGTCATTAATCCTTGCTCTCTTTCACAGGTTGAGCTGCATGTGCACCTTGATGGAGCCATCAGGGTTCAGACCATTCTTGATGTTGCTAAGTAAGTGCTTTTTTTTTCCTTTTTTTTTTTTTTTTTAATATTGACATTAGATTTTACTGTTTTTGCAGTCAGGTTCAGGTACACTTGTTAAGATAGAGAGGAAAATAAGATCATGTCATTAGTCCTTTATGTGGCTTGATATAACCAGTGTTGGCTGTTAGTAGCTTATTGCAGAGTGTCCGTCGAAAGACAAGTTATCAGATTTTCCTAAAAGCTACTTTCATTTATTTTTTTGGCCACTTGGAGTCGGCATAAAAAACACAACAGTGTCCTATTCATTTTGACCTTATTGCTTTATTATAGCTCAATAAATGTTAGCAAACATGTGCCTATTTACACATACATCAGATATGGAGTGACATTAGCATTCATTTAAAGTTGTGTTTGTTGTGACTGTCTGATAAGCCCAATATTGATTCTGCTTTCAGCTGTGTTTTGTTCTACACCAATGCCTGTTTAGCTTCACTGTGTTCACCACCTAGTTGCTAACTGTCCCAGTCTGCTCTATTTGGTCCTGATCAGGTTTATCAAGAGTTTGTTTTAGCAAAACGGCAGCCTATTCCATCTATAAACGTTGAGAGTGAACTGAGATGTTAAAGAGCCCCAAAGATACACATTTACATATTCCAATTTTATTTTTGTGGTCCACTAAATGATGTTTACAAGTTTTAATGTTAAAAAACACATTGTTTCTCTCATACTTTACATTGTTGCAGCACTGTGTCTCGTCCTCCGTCTGAAATGGTCTGTTTTAGCTCCTGTCTCTGTAAGGCCTTCCCCTCTGAAGAGCCCAGTCTGCTGTTCATGTTAGTTATGTATCCTGTTACGACAGGACTGAATGACACAATGAAGGAAAGAGAAAATCCCCAAAACACTGTCCTTGAGCTGTTTTTTTCCTACTCTCTTCTATGTAGAAGACGCGGCATCACTCTGCCAGCTGATACCGTTGAGGGAATGACACAGAGGATTACTGTTGACAAGCCCGCCACTCTCACCTTCTTCTTGAGCAAGTTCAGCGAGTACATGCACGTGGTTGCGTAAGTGCTGACACAACACCTATAATGATTCAGTTGCATAATTACCATACCATAATGACCAATGTTATTAGCAGTCAGTGTCACAGGAGTGTTTACAGTCAGGGTCAAAGTCCAGTCATGCAGTTTGTTATCACGCATGTGTGACTACTACAGCTCTGATGCATCTTGTACCACCAGGGTGTGTGGAATGTGATTAATGGCACTGAGTTGTAAGACACAATGGGATTATGCAACCCGATTCTGCACCACAACGGGGGGTTGATTTTAAATGCCAAACATGCAGAACAGGAACACATCATGACTGAGATCAGGTGTCACCTTGGCAACCAAACTGAGAAGAGGGTAAAGTTGTTCGAGGATCCTTTCCGGTGTCACGCTGTCTTATATTTAGTCCTCCAGTAAAGGGTTGAACTGTTTAGAAAAGACCAAATACAGTCTTTCAGAGACTCAATGGCCGTAAAAGGTTTCAACAATGCTGGTCTGTAGTGGCTGGACTGCAGCACACAGCACTGCTGAATGGACTCTTCTGTATCAAGGCGCTTGAAAGCCATGTGTGCAGAGTGGCTTCAACAACACAGGGAACCTGCTAGCTGAATGTAGCTCATGCAGAATTGTTGTATGAGCTTGGCAGTGATGCGGTTTTGTGAATTTTGGGGGGTTAATGAGAGGACGTTTGAGAACAACAGGCATTCAGGCCTGTGTGGTGAGCGTTCACTTTCATTGTAAATGCTGGAAGTGATGTTGTTCTCCGTCATGTGATGTGGAACTGAATTTTTGCTGCTGAGCAGTGTGTGAATTACACTATGGCTCTGTGGGAACTTTTTTTTCACTTTTATGTGATCTGAAATGACAGATAGGCCTGCAGCATTTATAAAGCACGAGATTTAAATTATCGTTATTTATCAATGCGATCATTTGCAGTAAAAGACGCCGCTGGCTCTGGTTGCTCCTCAGTGCAGATTGCCTTGTCTTCTTTTTGATATATGTGCATGTTGACAACAAAACAGAGAAATGAATTATGGCAACTTGGCAGCAGGCTGAGTGGGAAAGTTTGTTCTGTTTCTGTTTCTGTTTTTCAGCAGTTGGAAGTTCTTTTTCTTTTCAGTTAAACTGAGTGAAGTTTATGATTTTGCGCTGCCACAAGGTAACTTTATTAAAGCAATTTCAAGTGATACATCACCCTCATGCTTGAATCAAACATAAATATCAGTTAAAAAATATTTGTGATTCATCTAAATGATGAAAGAGAAAAGCAGAGATGCATGGCAAAAATAACAACTTGTCATTATGAGAGCTCCAGTAAAGGGAAGCTCATGTCTTATTAAGTGAAGCCAAGTGCCAGCTGAACCCAAAGGACAGAAAGAAAGCTGTGATTTTCCCAGTATTTTTATGTCACAAATCTGTAATGTCAAGATTTGGGGAAAAAAGCCCTGCCCAGCATTATTGATAAGGAATTAATTATTTCGCCTGTAAAATGTCATTTTTAATTCAAATTAGTAGCATTAATATTGGCAGAAAACGTTGGAAATGTTGGCGTGGCTACCTGAATAAACGTATCTCTACTCAGTTAAATGAGTCTTGTGTAGCATCAATACAAGTGAAAACTTTAACGTGCTTTACAGATTACTCACAAGTTAATAATTATACATTTCAATTGTAAACAGCAAAACAACTCCCAAGACTGGTGCACATGAGAAATTAAAAGTGAAACGTTATGATAAAACCAGACTCATGTTTATTCTGTGACTCAACACTCATGTACAGATTCTATGAGTTCATTTTCATTTGAAAAATCCAAGTCCAAGATCAAAATCAGGACTGTTATGTCCCAACAATTATGTAATTATTATAATGCTATCTTTCCTTTAGCCAAGAACAAACAAGTGTAAATAAATAAGTGTAACTGGAAAAATGTAGCTAATTGTTTTAAATATACATATTCGTAGAAAATCATCAAAAGCTATTATAATCTGTTTTAATCTTGTTTTATTTCCACAACACCTGCTATGCACTGGATGTCCTTGTAGAGCACTTTTAAGTTTATTTTACTTGTAAAAGGCAACAAAATGTACCATATCAGTAACACTGCAATTGCTTTTATTGCTCATTTTGAAAGCCATTATCATTTAGATGATAGATGAGTAGTAGGTCTAGGCGGCCTTTTTTTGCCACTGAGATGAGTTTATTAGGGACTATGTTACTCATGCTTTGTTTTTCTTTGTTTCTTTTCTAGCGGGGACAGAGAAGCCATTAAGAGGATAGCCTATGAGTTCGTAGAGGACAAAGCCAAGGAGGGAGTGATTTATGTTGAGGTCCGATACAGCCCACATTTCCTAGCTAACAGTAAAGTGGAGCCCATTCCATGGGAGCAGAGCGAGTAAGTGCTTATCTTGAATAGCTGCAGCATTTTGGTAATACCTCTGCAGAGCTGGAATATGTTAAGTTTGGCTCATGGCATGTTTTCTTGTGCACTGTGTTGTTTTTGCTCAGAGGTGACTTGAGTCCGGATGAGGTGGTTCACCTGGTTAACGAGGGCCTCCGCGAGGGGGAGAGGGCCTTCAAAATCAAAGCCAGGTCCATTCTATGCTGCATGCGCCACATGCCAAGTAATGAACTGTTCATGCTCCTGTCTGCCAAAACAACCTTGTGAGATAAGGTTCCTTACTGTACTGTTTACTCCGTCACTCTGTCTGTGCCTCTGTTATCCTCATAACACCACAAAAAAATAACACAATAAGGGTTGTTTTTATATGCAATCAATCAAATCTAAAAAAAGCCAACCCCATCAGTCTGCTGATTTATTATGTGCAATACTTTAATATATTTATAGAAGCCAGGTGAGTATTTTGCAGGCCTTTAAAGTACACAGTGGCGGGTTAAAATGTTTGTGTTTTTGAGCCCTTTTAACTTTTTTTTTTTTTTAAATTACAAAAAATCTACTTTATATCCACTCCAGGTGTCACAATCTAAAGCCAAAATCTTGTTTTTGTTCACTATGATTTTTTTCTTTAACCAACTTTGAGCATTCATGGGGTTTATCATAGTTTCAGTAGTAAAGCTGTACCAGTTTAATATCTGTGACATAAAGCAATAGAAACAGTCATTGGTGCCTTGGATGTTTTATCTGTTTTCTAACAATTCACTATACAAAACTTTTAAAAAGTGCATTCTGGGTAAACTTTCAAAGGTCGTATTACCATGTGGATGGGTGATTGGTCAAAACGAGTTATAGCAAATGAAAGATCTAATTTTTTATCTACATTTTGATACCAGACTCATCTTCTGGGCCATGATTCTATCTGCGTTGTAGACATTGCAGTGCAGTTTTGCTACTGTAACTATGATATACTCGTTGATATTGATACACAACATTGGTTATGAAAAAAAACTCATGCAGAACAAAACTAGATTTGGGCTTTAGATTGTGACAACTGGAGCAGATGTAAAGTTGACTTTATCAGTGAATGGAAAGGGCAAAATTTTGCCACATGTATGTAATTTAAGGACCTTTATCTTGGTAAATCTTCCTAGTTTGAATGTAAAATTTTGTTTGGCTTTACTAAATACGCTAAAGATGTTGCACATTGAGAAAAATCAACTGATCCCGAGGAGGTCAGGTGGGAAGTTCTGATTGATTTTTCATGGAGTCACCCATAAGTTCACATGTATACACACTGTAACATCCAATGTTTTATTTTCATTGATGGTACATATTGTCACTATCCAGGGAAAACCATGTTTCTCCAAATTTGATGATTTAGAATTTTTTCAGAGAGACTGAATAATTAAGAGCTTTTTCATGAGATGCATTTGGACAAAGTGACACTTTGCATGTAATGTAATGTGAATGTAAGTAATCACTGTAAGCCAAAAACTCAGGATTCAACAACGGTTTTTCCTATTTTCCTGACAAGATGGCATCAGGGTGGCACAGATTTCTATATACAGTCATCTACTCCAGGCACAGTTGTTGTGCTATGAAGTTACAAAACAGAACTTCAACCCTTACCATATTTGTCAGGGCATCGAATTTGAGATGCACAAACATCATCCTCTGTTTCTGATTCTCCCTCTGATGTATATTTCTCAGGTGCAGTTTCAATTTAAAATTTTGTGTCATACACACCTGCACCTTGATGTCTCATACCGTGTGCGGTAAGGGTATTTATTGACCTGATGATGGTGCCACATGAAAAATAAGGGGTTACCTAAGTTAATAGGACATGGATATGAATGTCTGTATCAGATTTCATTGCTGCCAATCCAATACTTGTTGAGATATTTCAGTCTGGCCTAAATTGGTGGACAAACAACTATTTGAGCACCACTGCCATTGCTAGAGCCATTAGAACAGGATGTATTATCTGAAAATGTCTCAAAGCTGAACTAACATTGTTTTTCTTAGCTCGTGTGAAGCTGATGTTTTGGAGATACATGGTTTTCACAGAATAGTACTGTTACGTGCTATATTAGTACGAGAAAGGTTCGAGGTTCCATTCTGTTGCCCAATGGGACCTTATTTTGGACAAAAGACATACAGTAGCCACCAGAAAGACACAAGATGTCCTGTTTGAATTGTGTCTTGTGTTACACATGTGATGTTTGCCAATTTAAAAGGTGTTTTTATAAGTCAAGAAGGTGGCAGTTCATTGAAAAGACAGTATAATACCTTTGAGTGTTGAGTGAAACTGCTCAGTCAACTACATCTCTGCTCTCGCACAATATTACTCCAGCATGGTTGTCATCTTGGCACATTTGGAAAATCAGTACAGGTCTGATCATCTTTCGAGCCACAGTTGTGTGAAAAGTGAGTAATAGCATGAGAGATCGGCAGCTAACTACAACAGTTGTGAAGTTACAGTGACGTCACTTACATGACTTTTGAGTGTGTCCACTTTCTAATGACACAACTTCAGCAGCTTTACAACACACAGGAACTCTCTTGACCTGCAAAATTATCTTTCAAATTGACAAACATCATATATGTACGATATAGCATATATCAAATTATTTGTCTTTCACAATTAACTGTTGTACATGTGTTTTTTTTCCAAAATAAGGTCCCATGGTAGTCCACTTGAAACAGTAGTACTAGTTTTAATACCATTTACAGCTGTGGTATACATTACGTACTGTACTAGTAATAGTAACTGTAGTAAAATGAGCAGTTGCTGTTAGTAGCAGAAGTGACAGTTGCGTTCCGCTGTGCTCCATTCATGCAGCTGTTTCCTGTGTCACCCAACAGCCAAAGTCAGTTCATAGATGCTATTTTATATTTTCCACTACATCCCTCGCAAAACACGCTGTCATATCCCCGGTGATTACGGATGTCTTTCTGCAGGACACTCTGTGAATGTATGCAGGACATCTGATTTTGTCATGTTTTAGGAAAGCAGCAGATTTTACTAGCTGCAACAGATAGATTTGTGTATGTTTAAGCTCTTTGCAACCATATATTTCAATGCAGTATCCTCTCTGAGCATTAATCTAATATATATACCAAGCATGTTTTTAAAAGTAACTTATCTTTCCATAAAGTGTAAAATGTCAGGATGTGACGGTAAATTAAAGAAAAAGCTTGACATCTGGGGAAATGTTTTCTCACAGAGAATTACGTAAGAACTTTAATACCATGCATGCCTGTACGGTAAATATGAAACTACAGCAGGAGACTTGCAACAGCGAGGCCTCCAAAGGTTACAAAGTTCATTGAGCAAAGTTTGCCAGCTGTGGTTTCAGATTTATTGTACAGACTTAAGAGTAGTATCAATCTTCTTATCTAACTCTGGCAAAAAAAAGCTATTAAGCAAATTTCACAAGATGTTGAACTCATCCTTTGAGATGTAATAACTACTGCATGTTTATTAATGCTGTCTTGGACTTGTCACAACTATAGATTCATGCAGGTGGATGTAGCATGATGCTCAGACTGTAGTATCACATTCCATCAACACATCACCTGCATGTGTGTGTTTAAGCTGACAGGTCCGAGCTGTGTTTTAATACAAGTATGTTCTAAATTCTCCAGGCTGGTCCATGGATGTCGTGGAACTGTGTAAGAAGTATCAGCATGAGGGAGTGGTTGCCATAGATCTGGCAGGTGATGAATCACTCAACACTGAAGCCTATCCAGACCACAGAAAGGCCTATGAGGTGAGCCTGTCGACACATAGACATATGAACGTTAGACAAACTGCCGGCTGAACCTTTTCAGTCTGGCAGATTCTGTTTCTGTGTATTTTGAATTAACCAGCATTACATATTACAGGACTGGCATTGCAACAACAGCAATAATTAAGATCAGCTGCAATTTTGAAGTCTTGAAAATATTTTATAGCCACAGAGTCCAATTTATGTTCCCACAGTCTGCAGGCTGATAAATGTGGCTGAAGTTTATCCTGTCCACATCTTTTAGGAATCCTCAGAGTATTGAAGCTCTGTTTCATGATGTGCAGCTTTGAGGATGCATATGCTTTGTTTTTCAGCTCCAGGGATTGAAATGTCTTTACAACTATCAATGCATTGGCTTTTTTTTTTTGGTGAACATTCATGATGATGAATCCCACCATAAAGTTAACCTAGGGTTAGTTTTCTATCTCTATTGGTGCTAAATGATGCAGAATAATGACAAAAACATTGTTTAATGTTAAGGTTAGGTAATTTTTTTGTGTGGTGGAAGAAGTGTTAAGAATAGTTAATACTTTAACTAAATCATCAGGTTTTTATGAACTTTGTGAAAATGCAGCAGATCCGAGAGGGTCCGAAATAGTTTCTTTAGATTAAGAAGTAGGAAAGTTTTCTCAACCTATAAAAAACACCTACAGTTTATCACCAACATTCAAATCAACAGATTGTAAGAAATGTGTTTTTAGCTTGACAGAAAGGGCGTGAAAATTAAATGTAAAAAATCTGAAAAGCAACTTGTAACTACAGCCAAATGCAGTGGAGTAAAATGTACAATGCTTGCTTTTGAGATAGAAAAGAGTAGAAGTATAGCATTGCATAAAGTAGAAATTAGTAAGAAAGTACCTTGAATTTGTACTTATGTACATAGTAAATGTTCTTAGTTACATTCACTGTGAAATGACACTCTCAGAGTATATTGACATTAACCATATAACTGTTGTTAGCTACCTAATGTTAACACAGTTTCTGTTTCTGTTTAGGCCACAGTTACAGATGTAGATATCTGGGGCAGCTCAAGGAATACATCCCCTTTTGGAAAACAGCTCTAATATTGCTAATACACACAACAGTACCTCAGACAGGGTTTAGATTTTTTCATGCACTGGGACTTTATTTACTTGTTTGAGATCATACAACCAGTAAATCTGTTGTAGAAAAGGTAATTAGATCCATACATGAGCCATCATATCTTAAATGTTTCCCTGGTTCCTGAATTTATGTATTTTCCTTGACATAAGTTAAGACATTTCCGCCACAAATACACAAATTGGTATATTAAAAACTCACCAGAATGCGGAGATGAAGTGTCTGACGCTCCAATTTCCCTGGGGGAGACCTCTCGATTTGTCCTCCTCCCATATTGAAGTAAAAAATACGCCAATGTGTTTTTTTTTTGTAAAGGTGCTGCTGTGTCTTTGTGCAACAGCTTTCAGCTCAGGTGTTACGGCTGACAGACTTTTAAATAGATTTTGATTCACATCTTTATCTGTAACCAACACAGTATGGCTGTAAAACCTATTACACCCAAACCAATTTCCTCTTATGGGCCAAAGCTTCTCAGAGAAATCCAATTTAGTTTTCAGTCAGCATTTATTGATTAATTCTGAGAATACAACTGTGAGTAATCAGTTTTGCCTGTCACAGCCTAATAACTGAAGTAGATTAATCACTTAATACACTGGCGTGCTGGACGTTTTACCTGAAATTAATTACTTGCACGAACAGAGGAAAGGTTCAGGTTGACTGCATGGGGAGAGATCATCATTTTCAGCGGTGTATTTCATATATTTTTTAATCTAACACGGAAATGAAAAGAGGTGGAATTTAATTACTTCTGAAGAGACCTGATGCTGGTCATTTGTTCTGGTATTCTGTTAACACACGTGTGTTACAAGTGTCTTTTAGTCATTTGTAGTTTAACATTACAGTCTGCTGTGACTCTCAGCCCACATCCTTCCCTCTCCTGGTCGTTACAACCACATACAGAGCTGCTGTCTTAATGGCAGCACATATTGATATAGCAATAGTGTCGCGGCACCAAGGTGGACAGTAATCAGGATTTATGTACAGTTGCTTTGGTTTTTAATAGAGTGCATAAGGACAAAGGTGTGCACTAAAAATTCCTTTCATATTGTCGTGCCTCAGCATGTGTTAACGAAGTTAAAATGTGAGTCAGCAGTCATTTGAGCCAAACAATCAGTCAATAATTTATAAGCGGGGCCATAAAATAAATGTGGTGGTTTCTAAATGTAGTGTTTGCACATGTTGCATAGATTTTGTTGACTAGCTGCTTTTCCATAAAATGGGAATACCGATGTAATAACATTTAAATGATTTCAGTGGTTTTATTCAATTTCAGAAATTGTGAGTATTTATGTTTGGATAAAAGTTGATTTATGTATGTGTGAAATGTGTTCATGTGGGTGAAAATGTACAATTTACTTTGTATGCATACACTATGTGACTGAATATGAAGAGTTCAGATGCAAAAACAGATAACTCCATTTTTGTAGATTTTCAGAAAACTTATTTTTTTGTTGTTTGCTTGAGATAATATCAATCAAACTGAAGTTGAGTGGATTTGGCTCAGTAGAAATGGCACGACAAAATAAGAGATAACTTAAGTTTGATTGATATCGTCTCAGGTAGACGATGGAAGAGTGGGTTTTCTGAAGGTTTGTGAAGATGGAGTTATCTGTTTTTGCAAATGAGCTCTTCATATGTTCCTATTCCGGTGTTTTTGCATTTTTGATGAGCCAGCTTTATTATTGTTAGTGTTCATCAGTCATGTTGATTTATTGGTTATTGTAGAACTGCATCATATTATACATACAGTTCTGTTCCACAGCACTTCAGAGTTTTGAAATCCTGTCGAGGTGAATCCATATTGATAGACAAAATGGAAATGTCCTTTAATTATTAACAAGAAGCAGAGCTGACAGAGCAGAGTTCATGCTAATATTAAGGGTTATCTTCATAACAATGTGATCTCTAGATACATGCGTGGCTGTTATGCAAGACAAACTCTGTGTGTCCAAGGTTGAGGATGCTAAAATAAAAACAGGATTCAACCAGAGGGATGTCTTCTCTGGATTTAGTTTTCAATCTGCTAAAACAACACTTTATCCCACTAAAAATAAAGCCAGTTGTGTACAAAATCCTGTCTACATGACAAATGGCGCCTCAGTAGATGCTGCAGTGTTGCAGATGTGAAAGCCAGATGTTTGGCTGTGCTGTTTCGCTTGCTGATGTGTTCCATGATCTATTTTGTTGACAGGAAGCGGTGCGTTGTGGAGTCCACAGGACAGTCCATGCGGGAGAGGTGGGCCCAGCGTCTGTGGTGAAGGAGGTGAGCCGCTCAACAATGACATGAGACATTTCTGAATGGGGCGGTGGAGGCATGTGAGCACTTAATGATCCTTTAATGTGTGTAGACAAAGCAATGAAGTCATGTACTGACAATAGAAATGAGGGCAGAGATCCAAACAAAACAAGAACAGAGTTTCATGTACGTTCTCCAGTTGACGGTTGGTGAAAAAACAAATTGGGAGTGCCTCAAAATTACAGTGGATTTCTTTCAACACAGGGTAATTGCTATCCATGCACAATGGAGTACTCAATCACATGTGTTGGCATGTCTCAGACCTCTTTATTGTGAAACTGCTGTATGTTTTACTGCACGGTGGTTGCCGAAATAAAGTGGGCACTCTGTATACAACCCCTCCGTCATAGTGACAGTTCAGCTATGCTGCAACAGTTGAATGTGTCTCTAGAAATAGCCTGCGCACTCTGCTGACATATGGACCACGGGAGATGTTTTTTGTAGTTTGTAACCTTTTGCATCTTCGTCATGACCTCTCTGATATTTTAGGCTGTAGAAGTGCTGAAAGCAGAACGTGTTGGACACGGTTACAGAACCCTGGAAGACCAAGAACTGTACAAGAAACTGCTGGCTCAAAACATGCACTTTGAGGTAAGGATCATTCCAAAACTAACATTATTTTTATCAAAAAGCAAAGATTTATAGTTTGTTGTATTTTCAGTGAAAACATGCATAAACGTGCCCGTTATTTAATCTCTTAGATGTGCTGTGAACTCCTTATCTTTACACACTGCTAATATTAGTCATCACAGATAGGAAACGGGCTCGCTGTATTAGTCAGGTCTAGTGATAAAGTGGATGTGCACATAATAATGAAGTACTGCCTTAAGTTACGGTGATACACTGACCCCTTGTGGATACTTTAATGCCACCACTGGAAGAAGGAAAACTGCAGTAATTACATTACTCAGTGTTGCCTTTGCTGTTTTGTTTGCAGGTGTGTCCTATTTCCAGTAAGCTGACAGGTGCCTGCGACCCAGACTTCACCAAACACCCTGTCATCACGTGAGCTGCTTTTACTTTACATGCAACTCGCGCAATTGCATTTCACGAGACTCAATTCAATCACGTATTCATTTCTTTTCATGTTCCTTTGTGCAGGTTCAGGAAGGACAAGGCCAACTACTCCCTGAATACAGATGACCCTCTGATCTTCAACTCATCTCTGCACCTTGACTACACCACCACGTACAGATACATGGGGTTCACCGAGGAGGAATTCAAACGACTAGTGAGATCAAATGCATGAATAACTGTAGCAGTAGTTCACAGGAAGAATCCATTTGCATATGGTTTGAAAGGATAGCATGGGGTGTGGATGCCCTGCGCATGGCAATATCTTTCTCAGTCACTAATTAAAGCAGGAACAAAAGCTTACATAAAGAAGTATCCCTCTGCACGCTGAAGACTCAGCCTCATTTAATTACAGTTCTTAATGCTTTTTAAACAATGTAGGAATTTACATCCCAGTTCCATCAGGTTTGCATATGGAATGAGTTTGTGAAAGGTCATTAAAGGAATAGTTTGACATTTTTACTTGCTTTTCGACAGAAGTTAGACGAGGAAAACAATACTCCCTTAATCAGTGCAGTAGATGTGAAGCGACAGCCAGGAAACAGCTAGCCTGGCTCTGTGCAACAGCAACAATTATCACCTATAGCTTGTTCGTTTAACCAAAGAGTAAAAATGGCACATTGTGGTTCTGTGGGAGGTTTATGTACCAGATTGTTTCCTGACCAGAAGCGGTGACTTGTTAAGAGCGGCTGACAGGGCAGCGGCAGTGTGAAGCAGGTTTCTCTGTTTCCAGGCTTGATTTTAAACTAAGCTCACATCTGGTGCTTAGGTGTAAATTATGAATCACTTTTCTGATTTGAGTCCTTTTGTTCAGTTGAGTTCAAAGACTGACTGTGGCACTGCAGTTTGTTCAACAGCAACATTCAACGCTGTTTCTGTCTTTAGTTCATTATTATGTTCGATCAATGGCTGCTTTAGGCTGCATGGTTCAAAACGATGCAGTACAAGCTAGTCAGTTTAGCTTATTAAAGATTTGTTGTTTGCACATGTACTGAGCAGCTGTAGCAGGGTGCTAACCTTTGTGCTGAAGGATGAAGTTGAAATAGGCTGACATGAGAATGCTATCAATCTTCTAACTGCTAACTCGTGGCTACAAAGTGGATAAGATACTGAAGCAGTCCTTAAAAATGAATGCTAACTATTTGGTAATGTGACCCTCTTGTGTCTTGCAGAATATCTGCTCTGCAGAGTCATGCTTCCTACCAGACGACGAGAAGAAAGAGCTCCTCCACAAGCTGTATGAGGCCTATGGGATGATACGGAGCACCGCCTTTTAAAACTGAGCAGGAAAACAGAGGAGAAAAATGTGGCTTAACCCAAGAACAAATCACTCGAAACCCTTAACCTCCTCACCTGACACAATGGAATGTGTTTTTACTTCATTGTAACCCAACATAAAGCCTACAGAATAATATATCGGATGTGTGGCTACTGCTATATTGCTGCACCTCATGTACCCCAACATCATCAGCTTTTGTTTTGTCAATCCTTCATTCGAGCATAGTTTTAATGTGTTAGTTTAAGGTGCTGTTTTCAGGGGAAGCTGCGGTCCTCTGCAAGGTGCAAAAATAGAGTGATGCAATTTTGTTTTCTGTCTATATCAAGACTCTGGATACATTCTTTTTCTTGGGTTTACATTTTTGTAATACAGAGAATCAGGGAAGCTGTAAATGCACAATTACTCAACATTTTTTGTCAGCCTGAAAAGAAAGGAGAGCCAAGATCACTTTGTTGGGTCACTTCTGTCTTTGCTAAAATATTACAGTGGTCTGCGGGGATGAAAACATGCAGCGAATGATTAGCTCAAAGCTGTACAGGCTAAAAACATACTACCTATGGAAATATTTTGTTTGCTATGAATATCTGTTGTTCGGTTAAATGGTGAAGTCTGGGGATCCACTGTCAGAAACATATGTGCTTTTTGCTTTCCACATGCAAAACTACAGGACATATCAGGTGAAACAGCTCAATACCAAAAAGTTTAGTCTTAAATTTGAACACTAGGTGGCACTACTCTCGCCTAGATGGACAAACCACCTAATGTGGTTTTACATTTGATAATTACTCTCAGTTCTTTTGATGTATATATTTATTTAAAATATGGTTGAATTCACTAAGCAACAAAAAAAAAGCACTTCCATTTATAACATGTATGGCACTTACATCTTTGACTATAATAAAGGCCTATGATAAAACCTTTCTGCATGTCAGACTATTACTTTATCATCTCCAAAAACAGATATCCCTTAAAGGCAGCCCCTTCATTACAATAAAGTAGGCTCAGTACGGACGTTCAACCGGCTTTCGTATAATTACTATGAAGAGAAAACAAGCTTAAGCCTTGCACTTAAAAAGATTGCTAAGACTCTACACAGCTTTGCAGATAAACGGCTGTTTCTTTATTGTCTAAAGAGACAAATGGGAATGCAGGGGCCATGTTAGGTGGACATGTAAACACTGGCTCCCGTGGCCGTCCTTATGTACACAAAACCAGCATTCACTAATATTTATGGTTCTGGAGAAACTCACCGCTTAACCCATTAATCCTGGTTGGCTGCTCTTATAGCTGCTGTGGGTCAAATTTTCAACCTGCAAAACGCCTTGTGTTGCAAAGTTAATCATCCTTGAGAAAGTGAAACACGAATGTTACAGTAATTCATAAGTATTTTATTACACAAAGAAAATTGCTATCACAAAGTTATCACTGAACATTTAGCAATAAATATGAAGTCCGTACACAACAGTAAAATGGAGACTATGTTGGTTACTATAAAAAGAAAAAGACTTGACGATGAAACTGAACAAGAGGGTCACAAACACACACACACACACATACATAGAAAGAAAATGACAAACAGATGATTATGAGTATGCCCTCCGTGACACAGTTCCATTTTAGGCTGGAGCAATGTTTCGAGTGTTATAAATGAATTCTGTTTAACTCAGTCCATCTTCAAATCCAAGGTTTCTGTGCTTTCTTGTCTCGTCAGAAATATAAATGACAGAGTATGAAGCAAAAGAGCAGCATCTCAATCGTCAGTTCTACTCTGCTCTGCTCCCCAATGTTACAATCTCTCCCAATAAAAAGGCGTACATTTGGGGCCGCTGAAGCTCCAAACAGGCCGGCAGTGAGCGAAAGTGTCCTCATGTCCATTTAGGACAGCCAATATACACCCTCTATTTCCTTTCTCCATGTCTCTCCACGTTCACCTGCTTCCTCTCTACATTTCTGTGCCCCCCTTCGGTCTGCAGCTGAGTTTAGGATGGACCTCCGCCTCCCTGGGCGTCTTGGCTGGTGGAGCCCTCTGCCTCAGGGGCTGGAGAGGCTCCTGGGTCTCCTGCAGAAAAACATGGGAGGGGGACAAAAAAAAAATCAGACGCCAGTAATATTTAGAATCAAGATCAAAAGACAACTGGCATTCTCAGTGGGAGGGAATACATCTGCTGTCAGAAGATATCATGAGAATCCTGAGGAAGGAACTGCAACTTCCCACAGCAACTATAATGAGATTATTTCTGAATATGATGCTTCTCACCAGCCCAGCATCGGCGGTTTGACTTGTCGTGGTCAAACTGCTTATCGTGTCATGGGAGATTTGTCTTTGACTGAAAAGGAAGTCAGTGAGAACGACGTATCACTCAATGGTCAGAATGAGGACGTTTGTCTTCTGTTCAGACTCAACAGCTCAACACTCTGCTGAGAGTAGAGGAAGCATTGACTCTGTGTCTTTGTACTGTCGTTATGACTCACTGAATGCTGAGGCAACAACAATCCAACCTCACTGAGACCATAGGCTGTTTGTGATACTGATATTTTCTAGACCCAGGGTCAGCTACTCAAAGACAGACTTTTACTATGAAGAGGACGAGTTCAAACTTTATGTCACACTAGAAAACATGGCAAACTAAGAACATCTCAGTTCTGCTCAATTCAGCGATTAATCACACTACTTTTGGAAAAACTTGACCGTTAAAAGTGCATTTAACTGAGAAAAATTCTGTTAAGAACGGTAATACAGAAGGCCTCCAGTAGCATGAAATCTCTGTGCACGCACATGTAGACCTGTACAACATTGTCACGGCTGCACATTTTAAACAGGACACTGAAGCAGAATTTAAGAATTTTTTTCCTTCCCATTACTAGGTCTGCAACATTGTTTGTAAATCACAAATAAGAGCCATGCTTTCCTCTTTTTTGTCATTTAATGGCACTTGTCAGTGACTGCTACCATGGAAACCTAAGGTTTAGGTCTGAGTCACTGGATGCCACACATTTTACGCCACTTTCTCTTCCCTCTCTGCTATCAGTGTGTTACATTTTCAAAATCTCTCATTACCACTGGAAACAAAAACAACTACCACTGGAAATGGCAAGTTTTGCTAAAGTATCATATCTTGCGGGCTGCAGTTGGTAGCACTGTTGCCTTGCAGCAAGAAGGTCGCCAGTTTGCTTCCCGGTGGGGGCACCAAGATTTTTCTGCGTGGAGTTTGCATGTTCTCCCCGTGCAGCGTGGGTTCTCTCCGGGTTCTCCGGCTTCCTCCCACAAGGTCCAAAAACATTTTGAGGTTAATTGGTGATTCTAAATTGTCCGTAGGTATGAATGTGAATGTGCTTGGTTGTCTCTAAGTGTAGCCCTGCGATAGACTGGTGACCTGTCCAGGGCGTCCCCTGCCTTCGCCCTGAGTCAGCTGGATAGGCTCCAGCCTCCTCACAACCCTAGTGAGGATTAAGCGGTGTATAGACAATGGATGGATTATTTTGTAATATTTCACCAGCCCTGTAAATGGTGGTTGGGTTGGTCATCGGTACACAGTGTCTGAACTACGATGTGGCTTTAAGGGCAACACACTATGGCGGCTGTGGCTCAGGTGGTAGAGCGGGTTGTCTTCCAATCGCAAGGTTGGTGGTTCGATCCCCAGCCCCTCCACAGTTGAAGTGTCCTTGGGCAAGACACTGAACCCGAAGTTGCTCCCAATAGTAGGCAGCACCTTGCATCTGTCACCATTGGTGTATGAATGTGTGTGAATGGATGAATGAGAAACACATTGTAAAACGCTTTGCATTAAAGCGCTATATAAGTGCAGACCATTTACAACACTTTTAGGTGTTTTTTTTTGGCTGATACATTTATAAACACTTAAATTATCACTTATTTATTACTATTTCTGTAAAGACAATAAATAATAAGAAAACATGAGAAGTAGCTGTTACTGCGCCTCTTAATCATGACCCATGATGTAGAAACAGGAAAAAATAATATTGTCAATATGTATATATATGTATATATATCAAATCTGAACCACTTCACTGAAAATATGGTGTATAAACTCTTTCATGAATAATCTGTCAGTGCCTCTCACTTAAGCCCCTCAGATATCAGCACATTTTTGAATAACCTATATTCAAAGTTTGACTTTTATATTGTGTATATTTTGAGAGTCCCAGGCCCTTTGCATTACATTAAGGAGGGTTGAAATGTTGTGCTTTTTAATTCATGTTACTTTTTCCAGAATTTTTGAACCCTTGTAACTTCATCACCATCAAGTCAATTTTACATCCACTCCAGGTGTCCATATAATTTTATATAGCAAATTTTCAGTAGCAAAACTGCACCAGTTTATTGAGGATGATAAAAAGTAATATAAAGAAGCACTGGTTCCCTGGATGTGTTATCTGGATTCTGATAATTCAACACAGCAAACTTTGAAAAGTGCAAACTTATAAGGGTGTATCAAGTGGGATAGGTGGATGGTAAAAACAAGCTGTAGCATTGGGAGATCCGTCATTTTTACCTCCATTTATCTACATTTTGATACCAGGCTCATCTTCTAGTCACGATTCTGTCTTGTGTCAAAAATAATTTGCCATATTTTATCACCTGCATGTTTCACATAATAGTTTGGACAAACCACATGGATCAAACAAGTTTGTAGCATTCAGTGCTTGTTTGAGAGTCTTTCAAATTCTACTTTGATAGTGGTCAGTTCTTGTTCAGTCAGTTTTTGCGGTCGCCTGTTTCCATTCTCAGATTGTGAACTATGGCGATGATGTGTGATCTTTCATGTGTCTGTCTCCTGAACTTATGAGGTCTATATAATGCTAATTATTAAGCACAATATTTTCGACCCACTCTGATGTACTTAAAGGGCCTGTAGCTCCAGAAATATTAGTAGTATAAAGGTAAATTCTTGCATGACCCCAACATTTTACAACTACGACAAGCTAAGCTCCCCCTGGCTGCCCTGTACGTCACATGCTGCCTGTAACACACAATCAGAATCTCTTCATGAAAGTGACCAGAGTTTAAGTTTTCAGTTTACTGCACAAATGTATGCGTATCTTCCCCCGTTTTCACACTGCATAGCGCCTGTATTCTGGTGTGCTTTACTGACCTGCAGCCTTCAGGTCCATCTCTGCCAGGTCTTTGGTGAGTTCACTGGTGCTGGCCGCTACTGTCCCCTCCCCTGTGATGTCGGGCACTGCGTTCCTGCGGCCTGTGCGATCACAGTTGATGAAGTCTGAGTACGACGTCTCCACGTCCATCATCTGTCCATGACCAGCGCTCTCATTACACCTGCCAGAGGGAGGAGGGGACGTCAGATGGCTACGGAGGTGTTGCAAGAGGCACATAAATCACTCTTCTGTCTCCTTTCAAAGGTGGACGGGGAGGTGTTTTTACTTGTGTCCTGTGCATTTCTACCTCATTACAACCAGATAGAGCACAAAAAATAGTGACTTTTTCTCTTGGAAATGACACAATAATTGCAAAGAAGAGAGGGGGGCACATAAAAAGCATTTCCACAACCGAAAGGCCAACCGCTGAGAGAGAATTATTAAAAAGAAGAATGAAGGTGTTAATAATTGCCATTTCTATTTCTGTCCAGCGATTAATGGCACGACTGACATCTGTGCTAATTGGTCGTCCTCATTACATCAGAAAAAAGGGCTCTCACTTGCATACTCATACCCCTCTACTCGAGTCCATTCATCTGCCTTGAGGTACTTACAGAGTAAGGGTTTAAAAAATAAAGAGTACGGCTGGGGAGAGCGCTGATCAATACTGAAAGTCAGAATACAAGAAGTTGAAACCATTCAAAAAAACAAGCAGAGGCAGTGCCAGAAAGAGCCCCAGCAAAAACAAACAAAAAAGAAAGAAAAAAAAAAAGCAAATCGAGCTCCCACAAGCTATTCATTCCTCT